GGAAGCTGGGAACAGAGTGCTAGACTGGCTCGGCCGCTGGCTTCACCCTGCTAACCTGCAAGTCTTATGACGACAATACACTCTCTGTGGGCTGCCCAGCGGCCAAGTCAGGGCCGGGGACCAGACTGTGTGAACAAAATGCTGGACTAGATGGACCCCTCATCTGTTTCTAGGCTTACCTGCCAGGGATGCTACATCCTGCGCCTTACGGTCACACCCTGGGATACTGGGACTTTCACCTGGACACGAGTGGATTGTGAGCGGATTCTGGCCGGTGACTTGCCCGGTCCTCTACAATGGCAAGCAAACCTGGCTGACGTCCTGCCCCAGCGCAACAGGTCTGAGGAACCCAAAGCCTGAAGCAGAGGCCACGCTGCCCAAATGCACTGCCAGACTCTGCTTCCCAACAGCTGATCTGGCACCCCGATGTGAAATCCACCCCCGGACGGAAAAAACGCTTGCACAGACGTGAAGCGGAAAGGCTTTGCTGAGCTGCTCTCATCAGCCATCCCGTGCCAGCCCCCTTCCGCAGTGATGGGAGCGGCGGCAGCGGTGGGTGGGTGGGTTGGGGGGGGGGGAGCATTAAGCCGCACAAATTCCAAGCATGTCACATTCTTTGAAGTCTGTGTGGCACTCACTCGGCCACTCAATGTTCTACAGAAAGGGCAGGAATTTCACCCAAGCAAACATTTCTGAGTGCCATGAAAACGAAATGCGTTTCATTCTCTTCCTTAATTCACAGAAAGGAGAGCTTTGTTGCCACTCTGCTTATTCTAATTGAATGCAGTGGTCACAGTTTAAGATGCGCTCCTTATTTCCAGGCCCGGCTAATGGCTGCAGAATGCTTCCGCTGGAGCCACACAGTCAAAACATCTTTCTTTCTTTTTTAACGCCAACAAAAAAATAATTATACAGCAATTAAGCATTGCTTTCGACATACAATCCAGAAAAGGCTGGCTCAAGGCTGTAGCATGTCTCCAGGTCTCAAAAGATGCCCGCTGATGAAAATAGATGTGCTTTTTGACAAAACAAGCGCCTCCCCTTGTTGCAAGCTGCCCAGAGAGATTTGGCTACGGGGTGCTACAGAAATGAAATGAATGAATGAATGAGGAAAATAAATAATTCCTCGCAGATGAATTAATTCCTCGCGACAAGGAATGAGACCACAAGCAGTGTGCCCAAAACGTATCCCATTCAATCTATGCTTCAGTTCTGGACCTCTCCAGTGTCCTTCCAGCCTCAGGAAGATGCCTTTTGCCAGGACAGGCCACCAGACCATCCAGCCCTATTATCCAAGGCCTCTCCTGGTCTCCAGCCTTTTCCTGCCCCACCACCTGATCCTTTTAATGCAGGTGGACCTGGAAGCAAAGCTACCTTCCCCTGTGAGCTTGAACTTTGCTACCTGGGCTTCAAGACAGGTTTGCTGGCTGCTATTTATCTTCTCAGTGAGGAACCCTGAATAGAATGCTTGAAGGTTTGGGCCCTGAGCACAGTGCTTGCCTCACACTATATTTAGGGGTTTAGAGGTAGAAGGGCATGAGTCCCACAAGCGGTTGCGCCACCTGTCCCAAGCATGGCTCTGAGGTGGACAGAAAATGCTGCCTAGTCTCCAGAAGAGAAATGTTGGCCCCTGGAAGCTCCTGCTGCATTCCCAGCCCCATCTGTATACAGACACAGACAAAGAAAACCCAATGGGAAGTGACAGACCTGTCAATTTATACGCAGGGCTCTTGCCTGAGCCACTCCAAATGTTCCCTCTCCCAAAGCAAGGCCAACATTTATACCAATTTAGAAATTAGCCAGCAAGCTACTTACAGGAATGTGTCCAGTGCTCTCGCTCTGTTAATTGGATCTGACAGGGCCAGCGTCCATCTCTGATCATGGGCTCGAGCAGGATCCATTTCGCTCCCCGTTGCCTACCCCTTCACCTCGCCCCGCGTGATGAGCGGGGCCATTCCCTGCTCCGAACAAAGCGGGGCCGGCGGTGAGGAGACGCAGGCATCAGCAGTCCCTCTCCAGAACACGACCTGCACTCGTGCTCAGGCTGGGGAGAGGGAGGTTGGCAGAAGGGCTGCGTTTAAAGGGATAAACCACGAGGGCTGGAGATGCTGCCAGAGGGATTTTCATATCCTGCCTGCAGGCACTCTTCTTAAAATGGAGACTGGAAAGCGAGCACAACGCCCAAATTTGGTTGGCTTCCACGCACGGTGAGCAAGGTAAGACAAAGGGAAGCATTGCCCTGGCAAGATGTGCCTAAATCTTGCTGTAACCGAAGAAAAACTCCTGGGGTGCAGTTTAACCCCAGAGGGTGTGTGTGTGTGTGTGTGTGTGTGGAGGGGTGTTTCGTATTTTCATCTTGAAACACGGCACCAAATGAGCTATTTTTAAATAAAGCAGGTAAAAGGATTTCTGAACACTGGAGTTTTACATTAAAATTCCAAAAACAATTGTACAGATAAGGCTGCGATTCCTTCAGCAACAATATCTACAAAGCTAGGAGAAACCTCACGCTGCCAAAAACAGGGCGACCGAGTGTTCACTTGCAACCCTTTTCCTTTTTTAGTGCTACCAATAGCCATAACGTGGTGAGGGAAAATAGCAGCCGTTTCCTGAGAATTAAACAGACATGACGCTTCCTTATACAAAGACCACCAATCCTTACCGAAAAGGAGTGGGGGAGGGCAGACTCTGGCTTATAGGATCTAGTTTGCTGCTCTTAATAGAACCCTTGGATCCACCATCTGGACTTCAATGCAAGAGATACGCACGGAGAATTAAAGAATTCTAAGCCTGGCCGTTCGTTTTGCGCACCAGAACCGAAAGGAGCTCACAGTCCCGCTGATTTAAGGGTGGGTGCCCCCATCAGCGGTTATGGGCTCCAAATGGTGGCTGCACACACCGTAGCTGCCCATGAGTGGGTCAGCCCATGATAAACGAGCGTGAGCTAACTGGGCTACCGCTTTTGTGGTAGCTGTGGCTGGTTCACGGAAGGCAGACTGAGCAGTGCAGGGAACCTGTCCTCCAACGTTTCAGCTTGCCGTGAGTATGAACGAATTTGCTTTCCCAAAGAGGAACTTGGCTACGGGAGAGATTTTATTAAGCAAATAGGGTGATGCCAACACATTTCTAGCTAAAGCTGACTTTAACAACAATAAAGCGACTCTTCTGCATGTCATCTCCTTATATCAGACCAAGATACAACCTGTGGGGTCTTTTATAACCCCTTATACAACGCAACTTTAACATAAGCTGCCAATTTTTATTGGAGATCTCCCAAAACATAGTAAGATCCTGCATGGTCATCCTTTTCAATCAGCTTTCATCAACCACTCTTTTCTGGATTGCTTTGATTTTTGATGTGACATTTGAACCCAGGACTCTGGGTTGCGGGAAGGTTAACCCACCTAGAATTTAACCCACCAAGAAGCCATGGGTAATCGGGGGGCTAACCTCTGGAGCATTAAACCATAAGCAACCCAGACTGCTAGGTTTTGACCTTCCTGGGTTGTTGACAAAAGAGGATTCAAAATGGAAGCTGTGAGTCCATGGGGGCTGAAGCAATGCTTCTCTTGCTTGCAGCAAACAATCCATGGTTTAAACAGCCAAACGGTTTGCGTTATGTGCAAACTGGTCCTTACACTTTTTGCCAGGTTGACTCCAGCTCACGCCATCACATGCCATAATAACGCTTCTATTCATTTCATTTCTATACTGCCCAATAGCCAAAGCTCTCTGGGAGTGTCACAGCAACAGAAAAAAGCTCAGACCACAAGGACCAAAAAATATCTCATTCTGTTTTAATATGCAGGATTTAAAAACAATCCAGCCACTAAAGTGATTTCAAGACAGCCTAGATGAGCTAAGAATGCTCACCAAAATCCCGCAGAGCGTTGACGCGTCCCTAGGCTGGCTTAACCCAGCACCGAAAAGATAGCAAAGGTGGGGCTAGGCAGGGTTCAAAGTGCCTCCCTCCCAGCCTGTGCACGGGGGCTTCCCACCGGGCAAGTGTCAGAATCAAGTCGAACGCTGGCCCAGCCACCTCACGGCCGGGGATGTTTGGCTTCTCCCAAAGCAGGGGTGCCAAAACTTTCAGACCAAGGGCCTAATTCCGTTATGGAGACACACTAGAGCAGAGGTCCTCAAACTTTTTCAGCAGGGGGCCAGCTGAAAGGTGCCGGTGCTAGCTGCCGGCTGGAAATGTGGTGCTGGCAGTGCATGCGGACCGGGGAGGGGGTGGTGTGTGCGGGGCACATGGCGAGGGGAGGGGAGGGGAGGCAGGCGCACGAGGCAGCGGCTTGCTCGCCTGGAGATTGTTTTCTCCGAGCGAGCAAACCGTGGCCTCCCTGCGCGCGGGGCGAGGTGGGCACACGCATGGGCGCGGCGGGCCGGCTCCGGCTCCCAGGCCTTAGCTTGAGGACCCACACACTAGAGGGCCACGTTCTCCAGCATCTGGATCCGAGGGCAAAAGGGGCCAGTCCTGCAAGAAGTATCAGCAGCTTTAAGCTCTTACCGGTGGAAAGCTCTTCCTCTGACTTCAAAGAGGCATTTCAACTTTTTGGTGGGAATGCAGTGGGAAGAATCCACAGAAGCTAGAAAACCATTAACCAGTGACCATGGGAATGAGGATGACCCTCTAGGATGGTGTGTGAACGCCCCACGTGGGCTGCATTTGGCTTGTGGTCTTGCGAACCCATATACTCCTGCCTAAAACATCTGGAACACATACCAGTGTGATGCTAAATAATATGCCGCTTTCTTCACTCCTTCCAGAGAAGCAGGTGTGAAGTTGCACTGCTGGATCCAGAGAAGGACTTGCCCCCTTTGGAATCCCCATGTATGTTTTTCCTAATGGGTGTAAAGCTACTGATAATATACAGTTGGCATAACAATACCCCCTTAAAACACTCAGACAATAAGGTGCATAGAGCCATCTTACAGAAGGTCTATCTGGGTTGTCCAAGACAGGACCAGCACCAGCACCGCCAAAGAAATGCCCATACCTGCAAAACGGAGAGGTGCATCTTTATCCATCGCTATTAAGGGGGGGTCCAACAGAACTGTGTTGTCGTTTTCTGTTACTATGCCATGGTAGGTCGTTTCGATCCATGGTTTGTGCTTGTTAACTGTAAAAGAAAGGGAGGAAGGGAGAAGATGAAGGACCACATGCTCCATTCTTTTTCTCAATATGCATTTCTATAAAAGAATAATATTTAGGATATCAGTTCTTGGCTTGAGAAGACCCAGCTCTCCATTCAGAGGAATTTATACTCCATAAACTACTTCGAAACAAGTAAATCTGGTTTTGGCTGCAGTGTCTTTTCCCCAGCATACAAAAAAGAACTTGATGTATTGGTCCAAGCTCTGTGGGAGGCTGACCGTTCCCACAGGCTGAGGGTATCTCTCACCCTAGAGCAGTGGGGCATAACCATTTCAGACTGAGGGCCAAACCGCATTTTGGAGACATTCTCAGGGGCTGCATGGCAGTGGCAGGTGGGGGAAGAGGGACAGGAGCAAGCAAACCCACATGGCCACGCCTTAGCGGAAAGCTCTTGCTATCAATACCTAAGCCTTAGGATTTCGGCCTTTCAGAATATAGAAAAGCTGCACAAAGCTGGGAACTGTGGCATGATTTGTGGTTAAGGGAAGGAGTGGAGCCAGAGGGCAAGCTGCAAGATTCAAAAGCCCTAACTGGAGGACTTATTTTCTCCATGCTTCCAACAACTGACAAGGAATGGTTTCTCTCTTCAACTTGCAAGCAGATGCAAGCTCAAAATGAAGGAAACATTTGCACCGCTTTCAGAAGGCCTTCATCTTCTGATGTCAACTTGCAGTCCAATCTATACAGTTGCACGAGGACACACGGTCCAAGAGGCGCTCCTGAGATGTTCTCTTCCGCAGGTATGCAAAAGATGGTAGGCTTAAAAGGGGTGGATGTGTGAACCTGAGTCATGCCCGTACACAAGCAGTCACAAAGTTGGCTAGGGGGTGGGTGGACTTGTATCAGCACGAAAAATCTGTTTTTCCATTCAAGCTTTCACACATATTTCCCAAACAATGGTGCACATCTAACCATTTAGGGCATAATCCTATACATGTTTACATGGAAAAAGCTCCTACAAGACCCCCAGCATGCCTGGAGCGCAATGAGGCTTATTCCCAGATAAGTGGCTTTAGGAGTACCATACCGGACAACTTTGTCTATTCAGAGTTGCTGCTTTCTGCTCTCTTCCATCTCAGCCTCCCCCTCATAAAAACTAGTAGTAAAGAGCGATCAAAAGCCCATAATGATCTGCTCAAAGTCTTTGATGGTTACTGGACAGAAAGCAGGTGAAAATGAAAAGGCTAAGCTTAGAATGGAGAGAGTAAATACGTGCATGTGAGAAATTATCAGATCTGTTGCTCATTTCCATAAAAAGACTTTTTATTTCATCTAGTAGAAACAATGATCAAGTTTAAAAAATAATTGTAGAGGTAATATGTCCACATCCAGGCCCAATGAACCTGAGACACTGTTCTGGAGAAATTAGTATTTTTAGTTTTAAAACATAAAATCAGTCTAATTTTTTTAAAACACACTATTTTTTAATCCACTATGCTCTACCAGCCTGGTTCACACAACTCGAAAATCAGAGTATGGTCTGAGCATGGACTGACTGGGCTGCTGCTGTACCGTGGGATGTGGCTGAATCTTGAGTAGTTCTGCTGTGTGAACCCAGCTGCACTAACAAACCATGTAAACAACTTGTATTTCACAATCAAACAACAAACCATGGATCCTTTGAGTGGTTTGTTTGTGGTTAATAAGCCATCATTCGTTAGCATGGCTGATTCAATGTGATGCACTAATCAACCCCTTCAAACAGGCATCAATGCTTCTCTTTTTCAGGCCTCCCAGAAAACACCTTTATTCCAAGAAGCCTTCCTTGACTGAGCAGTGGCTGCTTTTCTTTTGCTTTAACATAGTGTTTTATTCTTTTTTACCTTTTTACTGTTCACCACTGCCAATTTTTCACAAATACGGAGTGACACATAAATGTAAAGAAATCTATAAACCCATAATCAACCCGTACTGTGGCTTGTCAAGTTGTGTGAACACACAACGTGGGGGTGGCTTGTCATGTTGTACGAGCCCAGCCAGAGCTGTTAAGAAACCATGTGGCTGGTTTCACATACCTGGCTAAGCCTAAAAGCCACTATGATTTATTGTGTTGAATGAACCCAATATTTTTTCTTCATGGATCGTTTATCGGTTTCATAGGTTGTTCATGGCTTGTTAAGGGTATCTGGGTCTACACAACACAATAACCCACTTTTCAGCAACAACCCATGCTTCAGGAACCAGCCAAAATTAAAGCTTGAACCTGGGCTTATCATGTTGGCTGAATCTAGCCACTGAAAGTGACACAGGCATAAGGAATGCAAGTTTAGAAAGATATTAGTCCTCCAAACTCCAGTGGTTCCCAGTCAACCAGCTGCTGCATTGTGGAGCTGGAAATGAACTCACGGGGCTGAAAGAGGACAAACACAGCTGCACCGGCTGCTCCAAACCAGCCTTGTCCAACTCTGTATGTCCAGATGTGTCGAACCATGTTCCACACGTGGAAGCTCCAACCACAGTTGGGGTTCTAAACGCCAAGCTTTGTAAACCATGGTTTGATACGGACAAAATTAGTCATAAGAAAGTGCATCCCTTGAGGAACATGCTGTTTCCCCTTCCACCCACAATGGGACTTGAACACTCAAGAGGATAAAAATCTTTCATGTACAAGATAATTAAATACTTTATGTCACTGATGCCCACATGTGCTGCTGACAAGGGGGTTCCCCCAGATAACAAATGATCAAGCTGATGCTACCTAAAGAAGAACAGTACAACAATTTTCTGTTATGCAGCATTTCTTATCTAGCCCTACGATTTGATTAATAAGTCATCATTCAGGAAGGTTAATACGATTAAGCGCTTTTCAGGACAGATAATGAATGTAAAAGAACTAGGTTTTTTGTTATTGAAATTGGATTAATATTTTTAAGCTTTTGATGTTTTCACAGAAAGCCTGTTAAAATGCAATCTGGATATTAATACAGTGCAGGTTAATTATAACATTCCAGTGCTTAAAGAATCAGTATGAACAATTTTGGACTTTAACCAAATGTAGCTTCTTAGGTATGGAATTATCAAGGGAAAGTTTCACTTCTGGAGGTCAGAATTATGAAGAATAGCTCGGGGAGCAAAGTAATCATTGTGCAGTGTAAGAACATTTATTTCTAGGTGGGTAAAGTCCTTTAAAACAGATTCTAATCCAAAGCTAAGCTGTAGCAAAGCCATTATAACATTCTGCGAAATTGATCACTTGTTTCGATTTCAACCATTTTCAAGTTTAGGTTTGAAATTCGATTTTGAGGGACACTTCTAGGAAGATTTAGGGTAGGAATTGCCCAACTGAGTTCTTTCCCTCCTCTGCTGACCCCAGCCGTATACATGGGTACACCAGGATAGGGGTGACCTTTCAGATGTTTTGGTCTACAACTCCCACTGCCAATGCTGAGGAGACAGAGATGCTGTCTGAGGAGTCCCAAGCCAGCCTTTCAGAAAGAACCAAGAAAGAACTTGGAAGAACCAAGTTCAAGTTAATTTCAAGTTCTTGTACCATGGATGAAAAAGGTTTTTGGGTAAGGGAGGGAGGGGAAGGAAGGACAGAAGGAAGGAGCAGACAGACCAATGCTGTCTTCAAGAATAGGCAGGCCTCTCAGGGCATGATCCTAGGTGTGGCAAGACAAGGGATGAAAGTTCTGGAAGCTGCAGGACCCTTTTCTGCCTAAGCACGCCTAAGCATCCACCCTTAGTCACCACTAATCTTCTATCACATAAGCAAGGATAAGTTCTGCTGGTTTTCCTGAAATATAATATTCTGCACTACCTTCCAGAGTCACTGCTGGAATCAGCTGCAAATCCCATGATAAGATGTGACAGCATCACATTATAGCGTAGATTTAATCCAACCAAAGTAGCGAACATTCCTTGACACACAATCTGCAGACTAAAAGTGACTTCCATTTGGAGCCTACAGCATTGAAAGCACTCTCAAAACTTGATTAATGAAAAGCCTGGCTTGGATCTTCTTAAACAAGTATTTAGAGGGGAAATATATATATACAAATACATGGATATTTGGAACTACTTTTGAACGGCAAGACAATGTCCTGGTGCTCAGACTAGTAAGGGTATATTTTATTTTAAATGTTTATCGGCTTTCCTTTAGAGGCACCCCGGAGGGGCTTTAAGATCACCTGGGATTAATAAGGATCAGGAAGGACAGACTTTGTGTCCTGGTTGTTTTTTCCCTTCTGACTAGCACTGCACCTCAATTGGTTAAGACACTATCTACAGGGAAGCATGATAGTAACTTTTGAGTAATGTTTATAAATACTGCACAAAAACAGAAGCATATTTAACAGTGAACTCGCTAGAAAAAAATAACAATGAAATAAGCAACCTAGCCAAAACCCAAGATTTCACACAAAGCATTCCAGATGCTCTTTGGAATGCGTTCCTGATCGCCTGCCATGCTTTCTGGGGCTGATGGGAACTGAAGTTCAACGATCTCTGGAAGGCCATGGGCTTGCAGTCGTGTTCCACACAGACATGCACAAACGCCCACAAACACAAAGCTGGGACGCACAGACGCTGTCCAGGGCTGTCCCACCCCATGAGTTCCACACTAACCGCAGGCGGCTTTGTGAGAACGTTTTCAGAAGCGGCTCAAACTCTGGAAAACATCCGAAGGCAGCGAGTTCAGCTGCCGCAGAGCTGCTCCCAAAGGTCAGTCGCAACACATACTTTTCTGATGTGTGGCAGGGAGGGATCTTTGCCGGCCCTCGCACAATCTGGAGTCAAGCTTTTCTGCAGTATACAGTGCGCAAGCTTCGTCACTTCAAAGGACTGTGTGTGGCACCAAACCCGCCATCCTCTCCCAGTGCAATCTCTTCAGACGCAAAGCAGGTTAGATCAACCAGCTACAATAGCCAGCCCAGGTCCCTCACAGAAAGGATAATAAATAAGGTCTGAATATGATGTGTCAGCAGAAATACTGCCGTTTTTCTTACTGAAATAGGTATGGAAGAT